AAGGGGAAATTGGTGAAATCGAGCATAACATCAAAGAGTGAGAAGGGCTCGGCGTCGAGAGAGAGATGGCATGCCAAACAGTATACAGGCTCTCAACTGGAGAGGAGCGGAAGGCGTCTAGGGCTAAGCGAAGACCGCAGTGGTTGATTGTATCAAGGTGAGCAAGAAGCGAGGTTGAGGCAGAGGAGTAGATATGGCATCCATAATCTAGAGTGGAGAGAATCAAGGTAACATGAAGATGGAGGAGAGTTTTGCGATCTGAACCCCAGGAGAGGTGTGGCGTTGAGCTTTTTCTTAGATGTACTAGATATGGTCTCGCCAGGACAATTTGGGGTAAAAAAAAAAATGCCTAGGAATTTGCCAAAAGAACGGTATTGGAGTGGAACGTTATATAAGAAAAGTGGGGGTAGGGGGCCTATACGTGAGCGAGAGAAAAGGATGGAGAAAGATTTGGAGACAGAGAAGCGACAGCCATAGTTAGTGGCTCAATAAGAAACATGTTATTGCAGACTGAAGCAATTGACAGAGATCTTGTATGGATGTGGCAGAGGCGTAGATGGTTAAGTCATCAACATATAGTGGTGCCCGGGCTCCTAGTGGTAGGACTAAGGCAATGTCATTTAGAGCAAGAAGGAATAAATTGGTGCTAAACACACTTCCTTGTGGGACGCCTTCGAACTGAGGAAAGGATGATGACGTGGAAGAGGCGATGTTGACCCGGAAAGTACGTTTGGAGAGAGAAGATTTTATGAAGACATCCATGTTTCCACGTATACCTAGGGGAGACAATTGTTGTAGAATATGGTACCGCCATGTAGTATCATATGCTTTTTCTATGTCAAAGAATATGTCTAATACGGATTTATGCTGTCCTTCGGGCACGGCGGAAACCAAACAGGGAAGGAGAGCGTAGATTGTGATTCAAAATGCCACATTAAGCGGGTAACCATTCGTTCTAGTAGCTTGCACAAGCAGGTAGTTAGAGCGATGTTATTTCCTGACGTCCATATGTGGTTGAAATGAGTTAATAGGAAGATTAGAGAGGAAGACGGGAGGTGTCGGAGCGATAGTGATAGTGAATACCGTCAGGGCCTTTATGTGATGCGTTGAGTTAGAAGAAAAAAGAGCATTATAAGACTCATCAGAGGGTAGGGTGAAGGTGATGGGGGCGCGTTCCATGATGGTCTTAATGGAAGAAAAGTTTGGGGAAAGGTGAGAGCCACTACTAACCTGGCTGAAATAGTAGCCCAGTTCATCAGGAACTTGGATAGAATCAGAGATGAGAGCATCTCGAATATGGAGGACGGGGGCTGGATGGAGGGGGGGGGGGGGGTGTTTGCCTGATAGTTTATGGATCCGACGCCAAACACCTGAAATAGATGTAGATGTAATTGAGGAAACATAATTTTGCCAGCTATTTGTTTTACTGTTTCTGATTGTACGACGAAAATGGGCAGATGCTCTTTTAAAAGAGATAAGGGCTGACAGCTGGTTAGGGGTACCTCATTTGTAGCGATAGCTGTTCCCGGCTGCTTGTTTTAAGCGAAGCGCTTTGGTGCAATAAAAATTCAAACATGGAACACATTTGGAGGTCTAAGGTCTTGAAGTTCGAGGAACGGATGTATAGGCACCTCTTAGAATCGTGGTTGTAAAATATTGTAGCATATATAAAATGGGCGGGAAGGGGATGGAGGGATAGTATAGTATAGAGTGAAGTGAAAGTCAGCTTTATCAAAGCACCAGCGTGAGGGATTAGGAAGTGGTATATATGAAGTAGGAGAAAGGAGTACTGGAAAAGTCACTATAGGGAAAGTGGTCCAGAACTAACTAATGGAAATCTAAATGAAGAGAAGGGGAGCATAAAGAGAGGTCAAGGCACGAGAAGGATTGCGTGTGTCTGTCAAAGTGTGTAGGGCGATATGAATTATGAATAACTAGGTTATTTGTGGAGATGAAGCGTTCTAAAGATCGGCCTCAGGAGGTGGTGATAGAATCACCCCATAAAGTGTGGCGGCAGTTGAAATCACCAACTACGAGGAAAGGTGGATGGAGTTGGGAAATTAAGAGTTTTAAAGGCAACAAAGTCAATTGGATTGGAAGGTGAGAAATAGACTGAGATAACTGTGATCCAACGGCAAAGAAAGATGCTAATAACTGTGCACGGGGTAGTGGTTTGTAAGGGAGGTATGACATGCGGTGTTTTCCGATGGATAAATATAGACGAGACATAAAGGGAATGTGAGGATGAGACAAAATGGTAATTGGGAATTGGAATAGGAAGATGTGTAAGAAAAATCTCATGGAGGCAGATAACGGATGGATTATAAGAAGGGATATAACGAAGGTCTGGTCTTTGAGAACGGAAACCGCGAATTCTCCAGTGTATGAGAGATATAGCTTAGTTGTTTTATGAGAACGCATACAGTATGTGTTGGGGGATTTGACGGGGACGGAGCTAGGGGTGAGATAAGGAATTAGAGGTAGGGGTGGGTTGGTGTAGTATCAGGAAGGGTATCTGGAGGTGAGGGATCTTGGGAAGGGCATTGTTGTGACATGAGTGCTTCACGTATGTATACAGCAGGGAGTGGAAGGGATAGAGGGGATGGAGGAAGGGTTAGTGTACGTGTTGTTGGAGCTGAGGGGGATGGGTTGTGTTGGGAAGGAGTAGGACGAAAGCGTGTTGAGGGAATATGAGTAGGAGGAGAATGGATATCGGTAGTAGACGGAATTGAGGGGACTAGGTTGTGTTGCGAGGGAGTAGGAGGAAAGGGTGTAGGGGGAATATCAGGAGGGGGATGGATATCGGCAGTCACTTCGAGTATGGAGGGAGCATGAGTTGTGGAGTATTGTGTCCCAAGCATATAATTTTGAATATCTTCCACAGTTCCTGCAATGGAGTTGGTTGGAGAGTTTTGTGAGACAAAGGTTTTCTTATGAGGGGGGGGGGGTGTAGGAAACGTGTCTGAGGAATAAAGGTAAAGGTAAGTGGAGGTGCGTGTGCGGTAGGGAAAGAAGGGGTGGAATGTTTAGCCTGTCTGCTGCGGGTAGGGCGGGGAGGGAGAAGGGACGGTGTTGGGGCTGTAGTTGTGATTGGAGTCTCTGAATTTTGAGTGGCAAAAGAATTTGACTGGCGAAAGTAGGATGTAGAATTGAAGTGGGGAAGTAAGTAGGTATTGGGAAACGTGTAGGAACATCTTGGGATGGAGGGGGAGGGGCAGAGCGAGCGACATTACTAGAGCAGGGAGTATGAGAGAAACCTTGTCGGCGTGCTCCCTGTCTGGCTTCACGCAGAGTGAGATCATTTTTGTATCTGAGAGTTGCTACCTCAGACTCAAGATTGTAAGTGGGACAGCCTCTATAAAATACATTATGGGGGCCGTCGCAGTTAGCACATGTGCGTGTTTGTGCGGAGCACATAGGGGGCATCGGTCTGTGGAACGGCAATGTTTGGCAGGATGTCTAAAGCCCCAACAATTTTGACATTGGCGGAGAGGATATTGGTATGGTCGAACAGGGAGAGCTTGTCCACCAATGTAGATACGAAAGGGGTCATGAGTCCTGAAAATAATTTTGGCAATGTTGGTGGGTTTCTTTCGATGACCTCTAGGAGGAATGGAGTAGCAATGTACTGATATCACATCATGGTCTTTGAGGCAGCCGAGTAAGTATTCTCCACAATCTGACTAATCGATATCCATAGAGCAGCTTGCTGGGGAGATAGAGACAGTTCCGGCACAAGTATTAAGAGTTGGATGAAGTTCTAGATTTGATAGTGCTATAGCTTGTTTCAGATGTGACTGTTACGAGACGGGTACGATCCGGTCGGGTACGGAAAGGGCTTTTGGCCACTTGCTTTTGGAGGAGTGTTGCCTGGAGCTGTAGAGGGGATCGTGAAAATTCGGTCCCGTTTAGCAGGGCTAAATAGAGTATTTTAGATATTTGTAGGGTTGGTGGTGGTAGAAGGACGGGGACGTGTGGAAGTATTGTTGAGGGGGTTAGTATTATGGAGAGATGGAGAATATGGGCGTAAGGTAGTAATACGGGAGGAAGAAGGTTGTGTGGTAGAGGTGATGCAGTTGAGGAAGTTGGAAGAGTAGGAATGTCTTCTGGAGACTGAGTCTCGGCTTAGGTGGGTAGTGCACTTGTAGGAATTGAGGAGTGGGTAGTAGTTGCAGTGTTCAGAGTCGTGGTCAAAGGAGAACCTGGGGTCGGGGAGCCAGGAGAGTTTGAATTGTTGGGGCTATTTGATGAAGGGGCAAGCCTCACTGCCCCTAATACAGGTATTACATCTTCATACTGGCCATGGGAAGCCTTAACTATGTTTAGGAAATAAACAGTCCACCCCTCAGGGTCCTCTTGAGGGGTACGGGCTAGACAACTAAAACGGGGGAATAATGTGCCCATGGTTCCCTTAGACGTAGATAGAAGGGGTTGAAGAAAGAATGGAAACGAAAGAGTTGGAGGGAGAAAAGATCATGCAAAATTAGTTGTCGAGGGCTGAGGCCCTAGGCAGGGGAGATCCCTGTATTGGGTCTCAGTCTCCGTATCCAAAGCCTCCCCCTCCCACGACAAAACCGGGGAAGGAATTAAGGGGGGAGTATTGTTTATTTGTTTATACAGGATAGCCAGATTGCTTAGGCATAGTGACTCGAAAGACAGGCACAAGGACTGAAATGTCCTGATTTTTGGTTGGGTAACTTGACGTGGTGGGCCATTACCGTGCATTTTTGTGGTTTATATATTGACTGCATATTAATTTGTTTTATTATGCACCATGCTCGAGACGCTGAACAAAAATAATAGATATTTGATATTTTCACTACAGTTGCTAATGGTTCATATTATTATGACAGTTATATTTCTGACTTTGTACAATGTCCCTGGGAATTTGTTTGCTTTGTTTACATGAGTAAAAAAAATTATGTTTGTATATAAATGTACTAAACTTCATTCAGTGTTTCCAATACAAGAATATCTGAAAAGGTTAAGAAAAATAAAGGTTATCTTTCAGTCAGTTTGAAAAAAAATCATATTTTATTTTACTATCACAACAATAACTTACCATGCATTTCAAATAGTAAGCCAAACTTATGGCCAAAAAATTGTTCACATAATTATAGGCTTTGGGATTTGGTATAAGCTTATCTGAAAAACATTGCTATATCAAAAACTGTAATTTTTTTCTTCTTATTGCCTCAAAGTATGATTTAATAGATGGACCTTGTTAAACCTCGTCAATAATACCGCTTTTTATTTCTAATATAGATTTGATACTCAAACCTCTAAAACTACTGATCTCCAAAACTTATCTAATAACTGTCCCTACACATGAACAAAAGGCATGAAAAGCCATTGATGTTTAAATTTGTTTCAACTCATTTCCCATCACTGGGGTATATTTCCATCAGCCAATACAACTTGGTAACATCAGTATTTTCTTTGTACAGGCAAACTAACTGCTAATTTAACTCTAGTCTTCAATGGCCTCTTGAAATTGTACCTTTTGGAATTTATTATAAATAAACAGAAAGCACATCATAATATCTAGTAAACAAATTTAAATTATCTAATATAATCATGTAATCACTTGGGTTATATGCTATAGTAACACGATGATAAATTACAAAAGCAATCTAAAAATGATTTTTGATGTACTTCTGCTGTCATGAACACTATGCTGTAGTGAGTGACCTGAGGTGAAGCCTGACATATTACTAACTACATGCTTCTGACCTGCTGCCATTTTTGGCCTATTCCATCTTTGGTTATGAAAAAATGATAGGGGAGACAAGCTGAAAAACTGCAAGTTAGTAATGAGATGGTCCATGTTATTATTACTAATAATATCATAAACAATGACTTTTTGCATGGTGGGGATGGAGCATTAGATGCTATCTACACACTGTAAAGACATTTGCAGCTGTTTCTCTGTGAACTGAATAGTCTACCCATGACCAATTCCTTGAGTTCACAAAATTGAAGTGGACAAGTATACAATTTTCTTGTATTCTACATGCATTAAATACAAATATCCTACTGACAGATATGCAAAATCTGAAAAAATAGTATTTAAAGTAATCATCATTCAATGAAAATATATTGGTAACTAGATCTCATATGTGATTACTTTTGGCCTTTCATGGGAATGAAGTTGGGATGGCAAGACTGTTTTACAACTGCCTATATCAACACTTTATCAATCTAAATATATAAACATTATATATAAATAAAAGAATGTAAAAAAACACATAAAACTAACCAAAATTTCCACTTTATCCCTTGAACTGCAATTCCAGGTAATCTTTCTTTCTCATACTTTTCTTTTGAATAATTAGAAAATGCCTACACTTCTCTACTACCTGTATCTAAATATTGTACAAAATACATTCCTAATTCTATATGGTTCAAAATTAGTAGGCACCTATTTTCCTTTTATCTTAAAGTTACATTTACCTTCTAACATTTAAAGCTCTGTAATTGCCATATATATTTATATGGAAATAATGATATATAAAATTAAAGCACCAAAAATAGAAAGGTTATCTAACTTGAATATTGTCCATACTGATAAATAAGAAATTCTTACCATTATTTCCATTATCATATATTTCAATATATATAGTAGTGCAGTCATTGTTATTCTTTTGTATACTTAGCTGAAATCATGATGCTACAAGAATTACTGAATGTATAATAAAGATAGGAACACTGTTAATCGAATCACTGCAATTCTACATTTTCATGCTTCTACTGTATATATGATGAAAACATTAGACTCCTTACTTCTAAGGTTCTTCTGTGGCATCATAAGCATATATATATTTTTTTCCCCCTAGAAGAAACAAGTGAATTGGAATACCATAACAGCTTACATCTGAGCTTGACTGATCAGTTTATAAGTAACTCTAGGGGTGTGAGAAAGTAAAAAGAATATTCAAAAATGTTTCTTCACAATAGCATTAAGCAGTCATTCATAATTACTGACATACAATGAACACAGAAAGTATGCTAAGGCTTAATTACCCATGTATGCTTTTGAAACTCTCTAAAAGTATTACTTTACACTCAAAATGTTCTTTAGATATCAACATTTCTGCATCAGAAAAAGATAAATATGAATGACCTTTACAGAAAAGTGAAATTGAAAACATTTTTCATAATTTTAATTGGGCTGGATACAGTGAACACTAACTAACAAATGCTCTTTGTAAGAATATAAATACTTTGGTGCTACTCAAAATCACCCCAAATATTTTTTGTTGTAAAAAGTTCACAAAACTACTTAAAACAACAGGTATTGTTGTCCCAGTGGGTAATGTCGAAATCATGTTTCTCCATAATTTTTATATATTTCTATTAGTGAAAATGGATTTGTCATAATAAAAGTAAGAATAAAAAACCTAGTTGATGTATAATGAGTAAACCTACATATGAATATATGAAAAAAAAAAAAAAAAAAAAAAAAAAAAAAAAAAAAAAAGCGCCATACTGAAATTTTAT